GTGGCTTCTGGGCTATGGCCTCCCGGGCCTCTTTCCACAGTGACCGTTCCTGCCTGGCAGGGCATGGGGGACAGGGGAAGTCCATGCTATGGGGCTCCCGAGCTTGGCCCTCAGGGGCTTAGGGTGAAGAAGCCTCTGGGGTGGGCGCTGTCTGCTCTGTAGGATGCACTTCTATCTCTGACTCCCGCCAACACCTCAAATGATGACAGGCAACTGTGTCTAGACAGTGCTAACTGTTGCCTGGAGAACAGAGTCAACTAAATGGCCAGCATGACCACACGATGCCATGGGTTGTTACTGTCTCCCAGAGGATGCTCTTCTAGTTGGGGTGGCACCCCCAGGTTCCCCCCCCCAGCACCTGAAGAAGCAGCGCCAGGTGCAGACCACCCGGAAGCAGAGTCTCGGCAGCGACCCTCACACGAGTCTTGGTTTTGCTGCTTTCCTGCCCTTGCTGCCAATCAACTGCGGCCCGTGGGCTCCTTCATGAAAGCCTTCTCACCACCTCAGCTGTCTTGAAAGGAAGGGATGTTTGTAACCAGCAAATCAGGAGGCTGAGAGGGGACACGGAGGCCACAGGAGAGGGGCATGCCACTGGTGAGTCATGGCTTAATGTGCTCAGCAGGAGGCTGAGCCAGGAAGGTTTCTCAGGAGAGAAGAGCGTGTAGCTCTCTCCAGAGCGGGCCTGCCATGGCGGCCCATCTTGGGGAGGAGGTTGCCCTTCTAGGAGCCAGTCTGAGGGTTGAGAGACATTGGCAGGAGCGCCCTGTGGAGCACAGTGGCTCCAGTCCTGGCCAGGAAGCAGGAGTGAGGAGAGAGCCAAGCCCTAGGTCCTCTTAGGGGTGCCCTGGACGGGGCAGACTGCTCATGGGCTCCAGTTCTTAAAGGGCCCCATCCCACATCCGCAAGCTAAGGTCCGGCCTCAGAGTCGGGAGCCTTGGGGGTACAGCAAGATCCACAGGCCAGCTGAGTGTGGCCGACAGGGCCCTGTCAGCTTCAGGGATTGGCCTGCTGCTGCTGGAGCTTGGGCCTGCACCCCGAGTCTCTAGTCTTCACAAAGAGCAGACTCTACCTGCCCTGAGTGGATGCCAGGCCCTCCCTCGCTGCTGCCTCCAGTTCCAGGGGGTGGACAGCCTGCCCCAAGAGTGAGCATCGGGTGACAGGATCCTGCTAGGGTTTTACCTGCTGGGGCCCCATGTGCTCCCTGAGCTCAGAAGCACTTGGGGCATTGCATGGAGGCCTTAGGACAGGACTGGTGTCATTGTGCCCTGGCACTGTGGGGGCACCTGACCCTGAGTGGCCTGGGGCGCCTGCCTGCCTGCTGTGTTGTCCAAGGGGAATCTTTCTTGGTATGTAGTGCTGGAGATGGACCCGAGGGCCTTCACACTGAACACCAGCTCCAGCCCTTTTTCTTGTCTTTTGGGACAGGGTCTTGCTAAGTCCCCAACAGCCCTGCCTGTGCGATGATCCTGGAGTTATAAGGTCAACTGCCCCAATGAACAGCGTTGTCCTCAATGGGTCCTAGAGCTGGGGTGACATGATAGGGGGCAGGTCCCAGGTCAGTGGGAGTCCAGCAGGCCTGGCGAGGGCTGGCCACCGGGCATATCACCCTGTCTCCTAACACTCCAGTGGCCTTTGTCTCACAGTCCAGGGCCCGTGTTTCCTGTGTCCCGGCAGGTGGGGGACCGGCCGCTTGCAGAGAGAGCAGGCTGTCAACCCTGGTCCCCTGAAGGTGCAGCTCAGGGTAAAGAGAGATTTCTGTCATCCTTAATTGACAGTGATTTTCTTCTTTGAAGAAAACATACAGGAGGTGGCGAATTGAATCTCATTTCACTGAATCTTATTAAACTGTTCTAGGGGAAAAAGATTTCAATAAAAATTTAAAAGGAAGAAAAGCAAGAAAGCTGCAAACTAGAAAATAAAGGGGGATGGAGCAGCACTTCCTGTGTAGAAGCCGGGGACTCAGAACACTCCCCTGAAAAGTGGTTCTGGAGGCTGCCTAGTGTCAGCCGCCCTGGCCTGTCCCTGTAGTGGCTGATGGTCACTGTGCCCAACTAGGGCATGAATCTGGCTGTGGGGAGTCCCGGGGGATGGCCTGGCAGAGCCCTGAAGTCTCAGCTACATTCGTAGCAATGTGCTGGTAGTACAGTGGGCCAGCTCGGGTCCCTTTTCACCTGCCAGGCCAGGGGACAGGATTGGGGGCCACACAGCCACCCCATGTCAGCACCCCAGCACCTCACACCTCCCTATTCTCTGCTGTCTTCTCTTTGCTTGCACCAAGACTCGGTTTCCACACCATTAAATTTGTCTCTGAAAGTGTGGCTCAGTGGCTTTACACGTGGCCATACCCCAGTCTCTTCTGGAACATCATGTCACCCCAAAAGAAGCCAGGGCCCAGCGAGAGCTATGTTCCCTGTCCTCCCTTCCCTGCCCTTGGCAGCCACCAGTCCCTTTTCCTTCTCCATGGATTCACCCATCTGGTTGTCACTTATGAACTGACTCCTCTACCACACAGCCGAGCAGGCTATGTGCACCCCAGGACTGTTCTCAGCGTCCCCCCACCTCTGGCTGGCTGGCTCTGCAGGTGGGTGCACCATCCTGTGCCCGGATGTCTGGCTGCTGGTGGATTTCCAGGTGCCTCTGCACTCCATCCTTGGGAAGCGCTGTCCTGGACTTGGGCACTCAGGGCTTTTGCTGGACAGCTGGGTGCGTCTGAGGTTGGAGTTGCTGTCTGCTGACTCTGAGCATCTTGGGAACCATGCACTGCTGTCACTGCCAGGTCCTGTGCTGGCTGCGTGTGGCGCTACCCATCTCCTTTGCAGCTCTCCCCCGTGGGCATGAAGCAGATAGGGTGTGCTCGAGGGGTGTGCGTCCTGTGTCCCAGGGCACACGTGTCTCCCACCTGCTGAGATGGTGATGGCTTGGCCAGCGCCTGCTCAGAGTCTCCCTTCCTGGGTGTGTGGTGTCCCTGAGGGCATCTGGCGCACACTTCATCCTGCTGGGAGAGGGCATCCTGGCTCCTGTCTAGCTGTAAGGCCAACCCTGGGGTGAGGTGCAATGGCCCTGTGGGCTTGGGTGTCCCTGATGGGGCAGCCAGCCCCACTTATGCCCTTACCAGGAAGCTCCTCCCAAGTGTCTTGGGATCAGGCCGTTCTGGGTTGCACTCGGGGCCTTCTGCATCAGCCTAGATGTACCCCAGGGAGCAGGGCTCCTGTCTCTGCTCTAGTCCCTGCCTGGTCATCCCTCACTGCCCACGGGGCAGGCTCGCTATCCGCTCCTCCACTGCTGTTTCCCTTTGAGCAAATGCAGCACTAAAAAGGAGCAAACTGAACTGGAAGAGGAGACGCCGAGCCACCTCCTCTGCCACGTTGCCACGGCCGAGTTTTTCTGCATAACAGCTGGGTGTCTTGGAAATAAGGGGGTTTCTATGGTAACCAATTACAGCCTGTGATTGGTGAAAAATCACAGAAATATCCTGTGTGCGAAGTTATGCCGGGGAGGCATGCCAGGGAGGCAGGCCCGGCCTGAGGCACCGTGGTTCTCATTTCCTGGAGCAATGTTTCTCCAAGCATGGTGACAGGCAGTTTGCCATTGTCACTCTTGGTGCAGCTGCCTGGTTGGGTCTGGAGGGGTCCATCGGGGCTCAGTGGCCCTGACCAGTAGTAGTAGTCAGATCTTGAGGGGTCTGGCGGTGCCTGTTGGGGCCCCTTGAGCCTAGGGGCACCTCACCCCACTCAGCAGCCTCTGCTTCTGCCCAGGGCTGAATCCCCTCCAGGCTTGCAGGCAGGGACAGGAGGACAGAAGGTCAGAGGTGTGTTCATGATCATCTGAGGCCTCAGGGAGGGCAGGTCCAGTTTCACCCTAACTGAAGTTTCCCATGTGATGGTGGCCCGGCACTGCCTGGAGGGCCCTGCTGCTGAGAAGTTGGAGAGGCTGAGAGCAGGGAGGGGCATCAGCGCAGGGCGTGGCTCCTGCCTCCCACCACAGAGCTCTGTGGTTCTGATGAAAAGGCTGGGGTCTCATTGGGGATTTGGCCCTCTTGATAATTAGTGCTCATGAAGAGTCCCTCTCCTCAACCTCCAGATGACTCGGGGACCAGCTCACTCAGCGACCACCTCCTAGACAGTAGTGACAGCCAAGGAGGGGCACAGTTACAGTCATGCACACCAACATAAGCAGGTTTGCGTGCACACTGACTGGCAGTGAACGTGGCCAGACCCTGCAGGCACTCACGTCCAGAGACACAGTCACAGACACATCTTCACACCCTCATGTGCGACACACTCACTGACACACGGATTGCACGCACACACACCTAGTGCACACGCACTGACGCAGCTGTACCCATGCGCTCATGCACGTGGGCTCACACTCATCCTGCCCACCTGATGCAGCTCTTGTAAAGTCCCCGCCGCAGGCTGATAAACACGCCCCAAGGAGCGCTGTGCCCCGCGCAGGCGCAGTTGGTTACCATGGCCCTGTGCACCCCACGCCCCAGGCCCTCCCCACCGCCTAGAAGTTGGGGGATTCGTGTTAACTTCATTTGTGACTGGGGATGAGAGCTGACTTTGAGCGGCTCCTATAATCAGTCCTCAATTATCTACGCTGGCAGAAGAGGCACGTGGGTTGGCAGCCTCGGAGCCTCGCCACGTGGCTTTCGCTGCTCTGGAAGTCGCGTGGTGCTGCCTGGAGAGTCGCTGGTTAGAGCCCAGCGTGCCCAGGGATGAGCTGCACCTGGCCCCAGAGCGCGGCAGGTGCGGTCACGGTCACCTTAGTCCTCCGTGGAGAAAGGCAGGTGGAGGGCGGGGCAATCCCTGGAGCGTGGGCCTCCTCCTTCTCCTCGGAAAGGGCTTTACCCACAGGCTGGCAGCGCCCGGGCAGGTCTCCAGGGTCTGCGGGCGCAGGGTTCCCGGAAGTCAGGCGCTCCCAGGCCGAGCCCCTTCCAGCGGCGCCCTCTGCGGGCCGTGGCGTGCGCGCCTGACTGCTGTCCTCTCTCTGCGCAGCTCCATGTCCGTCCGCTGGCCGGGCCGCTCCCTCGGAAGCCACGCTTGGATACTGATAGCCATGCTGCAGCTCGCCGTGGATTTTCCATCCTGCGAGTCGCTGGGCCCGGGCCCCGAGCTCCGGCTCCTGCCTCGTCCGGCCCAGCGGCCGCAGCGCCTGTGGAGTCTGCGGAGCGGACAGCCTCCCCGGCCGCCCACGCCCATGTGGAGCCCGCGGGCCCCCCGCGCAGAGCGGGCGCACGGCCCGATGCAGGCGTCCCGAGCCCGGCGAGCCCACAGGCCCAGGGACCAGGTGGCCGCCCTCGTGCCCAGGGGCAGCCTCACCAAGCCCCCGGCTGCTGCTACCAAATCCAGCTCCGCCCTGGCCTCCGCGCCCACTTCCTCGTCCTCGGCCGTGGTGGCGGCCGGCGGGGCAGCGGAGCAGCAGAGCCGGCTGAAGCGGGGCCGGAGGCACGCGCAGGACGCCGCGCTCGACAGCTTCGACTTCCGGGGCGGACGCCCCACCACAGAGACAGAGTTCATCGCCTGGGGACCCACGGGGGACGAGGACGCCCCCGAGGCCAACACTGTCCCAGGCCTCTACGGCCCCACCACAGTCTCCGTTCTGCAAACGCGGAAGACAACGGTGGCCACCACCACCACGACCACCGCGGCCACCTCCGTGACACTGCAGACCCGGGGCCTGACCGAGTCCCTGGAGCCCTGGAGAAAGATCGCCGCAGGGGCCAGCACAACGGAGCCTTCCCCGAGTCCCGGCAGCGGCGACGGGAAAAACACCAACCCCCCGCGGATTCCGGGCGAGACCTCAGGTAGGCACCTCCTGTGCAGTGGGCAGTTGGGCCAGGCAAGTTGCGCCCGGGGTGGGAGGGGCCTGGCAGGGTCTTGGTGCTTCCAGGGAGGCAAGCTGGCACAGGGGCAGGCTGGGCAGGCCAGGGTATGGCCCCGGGAAAGATGGGCATTCTGAGTCACTGGGCCCTGTGCACGACCGGCCTGGGGGCAAATTCGGGAAGAGGCTTCCTGTGCCCAGGAGGCGGGGCTGCATCCGCAGATGTCTGGCCTCTGGAGAGAGCTGAGGGGCCAATAGGTGCCTTTGGGACCCTCAGGGCGTGAGCCTTGAGGGCTGGGCGCCTGCTGGTGGCGTCTGCTCCTTGCTGGGAATGGGCTTACACTGCGGTAAGGACTGAGCCCCAGGAGGAAGAGCTTCCGGGCCATGGCCCGCAGCTTTGCAGGCTTGGTGCCACCTGCCGGCCAGAGCTGGCCCAGGCCGGGTCGCGGTTCTGCGTGGTGGCGCTGGCTGTGTGCGCGCCCTCGCTCCAGAGCTTGGAAAACGCGTCTGCACGGCTTTGTTCTTTTTCCTCCGGGGCTTCCCCCTTCATTGCAACAGCAGGAGGGGCCCTTGTGAGTCTCTGGGATGAGCTTGTCCTTGTCCAGCAGCCAGGGCACAGCTAGGGCCGCGTCCTCTGCCCTTCCCTTCCCTTCCCTTCCCTCTGGTGATGCAGGAGTTTCCAGGAGGACCTGGGATGTGTCTAGCCCGTCCCAGACATGCAGTGGTCTTTCTGGACTCTGTAACTAGGATGCCAGTTTCAGGAGGCTGGCACAGAAAGGCAGGCGGGGGGTGCCATGCGGCCATCCCTCCTGTCTGTCCATTCCGCCTTTCCTCTTCCCCTTCTTGCTTCTGGGGAGCATCTGAAATACAAGAGCAGAGCTTTAGCGCCGAGTTCAGGGCCGAGGCCTGGGTCCGCCTGGCGACCGAGCTTGGGGTTCTCTGGAAGAGGTCTGGGACCTGCAGGGTCACCTCCGTGGGATCTTCCGAGGGACCCCCAGAAGCAGGCTGTGGCCCATCCTGTTGGGCACCTGCACCCCACCACAGGATGTTTGCTTTTGTTCTGTAATCTTGCCAGCCACCCTCTTACGCTTCCTGTCACCTCTGCATACGTCACTTACTACACAGACGTGGAAGAGAAAACAGGTTCCCATTTATTCCAAATTACATTTGTTATTACTAAAGTTAAACACCCGGGACAGTGTTATAAAGCTTAGCAAATTAATTCACAGTACATTGGATGCTGCTAATCCAACTCGACAGATGCTTATCTCAGTAAAGATTTATGGTTCTTCATAATATAATCTGGTGCTAGATTAATTTGTTTAGCAAAACAAATCTAAAAGGGGGAAAATATGTGCATGTGCTTTGAACGTGGAGAAATGTTAATTCTGGAAAAGGGAAAAGCCGCCCAGAGTGGCCATGGTAGGGGCTGGCAGCGTGGAGCAGCTTCCAGGCCGGGCGCAGGGCAGCGAGGCAGTGCTGTGGAGCCTCAGTGGGGCCACCACTGCTTGGGGGGCACTGCCTACCTCACCAGCCTGGAAGGAGCAGCTCCCCTCAGGCCCTGCGAAGCCGTCTGGGAGATGCCAAGTCATTGCTAGCACAGAATTGGGGGCCTGGCAGCCACATGGCCAGGATGACCAGTGTCATAGATGGGTCCAGCCACCGGGGACTAGAGAGGCTGGTCACGCCCGGGTTTGCCACTCATGGCTGGGGGCTCCTCAAGCCTGGAAGCAGGGTTTTAGGAAGTGGTGCAAGAATTTGTTTCATCAGTCCTGTTGTCCAAAAAGATCTTCCGAACCAGGCTTGCGGGTTTATGAGTTTTATTTTTGCCTCAGTAGAGAAGCATTTAGAAAGGACAGGTGACACTGTTGGCTATGTGGAGCACAAACACTTCTGGGCACATTAAGTGTGGGGGTTGTGACCTGGGACGCCCTGAAATCCCCCAGGCACTAAGGCTCTATGGAATGGCTCCTGGGATCCTCAGACAGCCCCTTCCTTCGGAATCACCATGTGTGAGCTGGGGTGACCTGCTTGTCTTCTCTGTGCCTCAGTGGGAATGATCAAGCTACTTAAGCGCTGACATTGCTGGAGAGACGAGATAGCAGCTGTGCTGTATTCAGTGCCTGACATGTGGCAGTCATTGCTGTTAGGATAAAGGTGGTGGGGTAGGGTGGGGTGGTGGTGGTGGTGGTGGTGGTGGTGGTGGTG